TTCTGTTGTTAGAGGTTTAAACCAGTCTCTGATCACTTAAACTGGTTTACATGTAACTTCTGTCCTTAGCCCTTCATGTGTTTGGATGAGTGTTGTCATCAAGTCAATACTAGAGTTCTCTAGCTGTTTTGTTGCAAGTGGTAGCAGACTGGGCCTGAGGCGAATGAGTGAGGCTCAGAGAGGGAAGGTCCCAGGGAGCGGGGGGGAGGGGGGAGGCCCCCCATTCTGTTTGCTCTGTTGTCATTGCCTCCAGGGAGCAGGGTGGGGCTCTCTCAATCCCCTGCTGCATCCCCTGTATCCCCACCATCATGGGGATGACATGTATCCCCACCATCATGACAGGCGTGCCACCTGTCAGAATGCTTCTTTGCACAGACAGACACGACAGACACCGAGTGAAAGAGCGATGTTTGGAATGGAAATAGCAAGACTATTTTGAGCAAAATATGAGTAATGATATTACAATATGTACAAGAAATCTAAGCAACTGGTCACCTTTCCTACCCCAAGGCAAAAAAAAACTGGGGATGTAGATTACTACTGCATGCAAGGAGAAAAATACAAAATATTCCAGTAAACAAACTGTCTGAAAAGCTGGTCTGGCTTTTTGTTTCTTGGATTAATCAGAAGAAACTTTTTCTTTCACATTTAAAATTACTGCTATTTAGATTCTACTGAATTGTAATTGGACTGTCTGCAGGCAGGGCTGTCAGCTAGATTCTTCTTTTTATGCATGGTAAAAAAGAAAACATAACACATCCCAAGTCTAACAAACTGCAACACTAATTTGGTAAATGCCAATTAATGCCTTATTCCAGACTGAAAACTGCTTTAAGTGGTACCTTTGTAAAATTAAATGACAGGTTTCCCTACCTACCAACTTGCTTCAGGCTTTTAAAATGAGCTGCTATAAAGTTGGCAGTCACCAACCCATTCTTTATTAGACAGGTTCAGCAAAATCCTAGTGCACATACTTTCAAGTGGGGTAGCACGGGGGGATACAGGGAGAGAAACAGAATAAACATGGCTAAAACTTAAATGAGGGTTTAATTTGGCTTCTTCCAGCCCTTACTTCCATAAATGGCAGTTGGAACCTAACACTTTATTTTCACCCTCCTATCTAGGACTCTGGCTTCTGTCTCCAAAACAGACATTCATAATTGTTCAACATGTGGCTACTTGTAGGAAGAGTTCTAATGGAGGAACTAAATGCGACTTCACTAGTGCATAGGATTAATATTGGCTTTCTGCATAGGCCAGCTACATCCATTGTAAATATGGATTGCCACCTTAAGCCCAAAGGAGGCAGTTTAATATTTATCCAGCATTTTCATTTGGGTACAGAGACAGATATCAGCTTTGGCCAGTTGTTCACAGACTCATTTGTTAGTGCTCCAAGGAGCAAAGCACTAAATGTTAAAGACTATGTCCAATGTGTTAAATTAGAACAAACAAATAAAAACATTTTTATAAATGGAAGAGGCTGCATGCTATTATCTGACTTCCAGTAAGCAGGTTTATCATTCCCATTCATTTTATAATTATTACTATTTTTAGCTGTTAAACAGATAAATTTGAATGTTCAGTTTACAACCTGCTTGAAAGCCAGCTTTTCCTTTCCAGTATTTTACTTCTTCTTTTAGATCTGTACTTTCAATAGCTTTGAGATCACCATTTCATTATGTTTGACTGAATGCAGGCCACCATCTCCTCTAAACCATTGCGGGCAGGGGCAGGGGGGGGAAGAGAGAGAGAGAGCCTACCTCTTAAATTGATTTTTAGCCCTTAAGCTATTCTGTTTTTGACTTTGTAAGATTCAGAATGCACTGTATTAAGAAACATTTAGTCATGCAAATGCATTGCTGAACTTGAAGAGTCCATTTTTCCTGTCCACATACATAAATGATTCAGTAATAAGACAGGAAGACCATTCACCCCAAGTTATTAGCATTCGGTTTTTTAAAGCTGTTTTCTACAATCAATACCTCTGAACTACAACCAATAGACAAATTATTTCCCCTATAAACAATTTATTTCCTTAGTGCACTGGACAGCTCTTTGATTAATCAGTTTGTATTAATCAGTTGTACTGTATTTGTATTACTGTTGTTTGCTTAACTCTTTCATGTAACAACATGGAAAAACATTACAATCTCCAACTCCTTTCAAAGCCAATAAGAGGACACAGGAAAAGGCATGCTATCAAAGTTAAATAACATCTATTACATTATTACAGACAGTGTTTAATTATAATGACTGTAAACCCTTAAGCAGATATATTACTATTAAAGGTTTGATGCCAGTTTACACTGTTACTAATCATTACCTAGAACTTACTGAAAAGTTACAACTATGGTTATAAAAGGTGGCAAGAGAGCAGTATACACAGGCAGTGTGCAAGATGCTATACTGCATGCCAGCAACTTGCAACAATGCAGGTGCCTGCTGAGATAAACAAAGCTGCACATGAAAGCACAACAGAGGGAGATGGTTTTGTAGCTAGGGCACTGGGTGGAAATTTGGGAGATGCGGGTTCCACTCCTGGCTCTGCTTCAAACTTGCTATGTGAGGCAAGATCCAGTATGGTTCTGCAGGTGTCTAAACAAGATTCTGGTATAATTTAATTAGCCAAGTTTCAAACAGTAATTAAGTTTGGCCCTGCTCTACAAGCTCCAAAACCTCAGTAGATGTCCAAGTTCAAACCGTGCTTCCATTTTGGACTGCAAAATTACAAGGTCCTGCACTTAGCTTCTGAGCATAGCCAAATGTGAGACATTGACCATTATTGGGTATGCAAGGATGAACCCATCCCTAGAGACGCATTATATGTGCTCAGAGCATGCTTAACTCATACTTAGCTCAAAAACATTGGTGGTGGTGACTTTTTACCCAACAGCCAACATTTTTTTTAACCCAACATATCAGAGCATTTGCACAGCAATCAGGAACCCTGAATTTTAGGTCCTCTTTAGCCTGAGGGATTCAAATCCCCTTCTTAGGAGACTATTCTGCCACACTAAAGGATAAAGCTGGGTAAAACATTCTCTTCTCTTCCTCTTCTTCTCCTTCTCCACTGGGCATCCATCACAGGAGATATGAAGCCAGAAAGAGAACAAGAGGGAGACTGGCACTGTACACTAGTGGTTACAGCACTTCACTAATGGAAGGAAAACCCAGGTTGATCCCAGCACCCAGGATTCTTCATGCAGTTTGCATGCAAATATCATTGTCAAATAATAAGAACAAGACAATAACCTTGGGAATAGGGATTGGAACCTAGAATCCCTTTGCCCAGAGGAGCACTGTACCCTCAAGCCAGGGGCTAGGAACTTTGAAAGCCACACATCAGAACAACTCATCTCAAGTCCAGCATGCACCGGGTGGCTTCAGTGGCACATCAGCAGCAAGCGGGATTTGCCTGTGATGGGGTCAGGCAGCTGGGAGCTGGCACTAACTCCACTCTTCCTAACCCCTGACTCCACAGTTAGGGCACAACAAAGCTTCCAGCTGGGAACTGCATCCATGCTGCTGCTGTCACTTCTCCCCAGCCCCTTGTTCCCTGGCTGCGCTGAGGGTATAGCTTCCAGCTAGTAGGGAACTGTGCTGCAGTTGGGTTCTCCTTGATGTTGCTTCTCCCTGTTCCCAACAGACAAGCCTTCATAGAAACAAGCCAAGTGTTAACAAGGGGGATATGGTTCCTTGGTTTATTAACATGCCAAAACACAAAGCCAAGAATTCTAAGGACATAGTAGGCAACAGATTTAGTTTACTTTATGTTCCCACATCACAGGCTACATGAAACTTAGACTTAAAAGGCAATGGGTATACATTTAGTGGTCTCTACAACAGCTGGCACACCTTAAGTGTTTTGCAAACTAGGAAAAAAGGCCTTTCCTTGCCATCTAGACACCATGGACCATCTTGCTCCTATGAAATCCATATGGGGATGATAAAAAAAAAAAAAAAAAAAAAAAAAA